TGAGTAAACTTGAGTATAATTCCATCAGCGCTGATTTACTCTGCATTAGGTCAAGTGTTTGAGATAATGTAAAATAATTGTGTAAGATCTTATCAGATCAGTCAAACCCCAGGAGCTGGAGGAGAATGCAGGAGGCACAATGAAACCACAGCAGGGCTTATCTGTGCATATCTATGTAGTCAGCAATGCCAAACCCCTAACTAGGGCAGATGGCAGCCCCATTCGTGTGCTAACAGCAGATTTACTTGAATTGTTCTTAATGCGCCTTTGTTTTTGGGCTTCTCCATGAGAAAGGGGCCCCAAACAAGCTGCATTTACATGTAACAATTAAACTATAATGACCCTGCGAGTGATTTATTGGCATGCGCTGGAAAGGGTTTTTGTGTAAACTTTGTGCTTGGAGGTCAGAAACGGCTGCCCAAATGCAGGCAAGGAAGAATGGGAAGACCGACTGTTTATTTCTCACCTGAGAAGTGAATTAACAGAAAGCGCCAACTGCATTGAGATGGTAATGCAATGCAGTTAATGCAAGAGTTTCAATTAATGTATTAAAACAGTTAGCTGATGTGCTAAATAAACGGAGTAAATAAGTCCTTTACCTAAACACTTTGGCAAAGCAAGTTTATTTATAGCACATTTCATAGACAGTGGCAGTTCAAAGCGCTTTGTTTATCTCCTAAAAGCCATTTAAATATTTAAGGGAATTTCGAAAGAAAAAAAAAAGGGGGGGGGGGGTGGTATTTAAGTAAAAACCGAAGCATTTGGAAAGAAATGTAAAAAATATTACTAGCATAAACTTATTTTAGGTGATGTATTCTGAATACTTTTTATTACTTTTAAATTACTTTTGACATACCTTCCCTATTTGTTGATATTTCATTTTATTTTGTCCATAAAAATGAAGAAGCATGGAAAACACACAAAATTATTAATTTTAAAAATAAATGTTAATAGAAATAAATGTCCATCATGCGATTAGTATAAACTTATTTTAGGTAATGTAATCTGACTACCTTTAGATTACTTTTAGGAACCAACTTCCTTATTTGTTGAGAGTTATATTTTATTTGGTCCGTAAAAAAACAAAAACAAAAATAACACACAATTGTATGACTTTTAAAATAAATGTTAAAATTGAAGAATAAATAAATATCCATATGAATCATGTGATTAGTATAAACTTCTTTTAGGCAATGTATTCTGACTACTTTTGGATTACTTTTAGATAACTTTTGAGCCAACTTCCTTAAATCTGGATATTTAGTTTTGTTTTTTTTTTTTGGTCCATAAAAATGAAGCAGCACAGATAACATATAAATTCATGACTTTTAATGTTAAAAGAAAATATGTTTAAAAATATCCATATAAATTATGCGAACAGTGTTAACCTACTTTTGGTAATGTATTCTGACTACTTATCGATTACTTTTGACCCAACTTCTTCTTTTTTTGTTGATATTTGTATTTTATTTTGTCCATAAAAAAATGAAGAAGCACGAGAACACACAAATTCATGACTTTAAAACTTAAAACAAAATGTGAAAAATATATTTAAAAATATCCTGACTACTATATCCTGTATTCTGTACACTTTTAGATTACTTTAACCCAACTTCCTTATTTGTTGATATTTCCATAAGCATGGGTCATAAACAAATTTACATCAAACTGTTTCTATGTGGATATGCAAACTGCTAAGCCAAAAAGTAGAATATCTTAAAAAGTAACATTTTAAAATAAAATTTACTACATCATTTAAGCCACTGGGTCAATGTGTAATCAAGCAATCCATAAAATGTACTTGTAATCTAATTATGAACATTTTAAGACAATAAGTATTTACAAGTATTGAAGCTGATTACAAATTGCAGTCAAAATAATTGTAAATTATTATTATTATATTTTTTTTTGCTTTGTATTAAAAACAAAATCAAACAAAAATGTACAACAACTTCAATATGATCATGATAAGGTCAAAAAATAAATCCAAATCAAAGTTTAATCTGTTCTCTGAACGGACATGCACACTGTATACTGTATGAAAATGGATGTAGGCTTTTAATCACACAGTGTATAAACAAATATCAAATAGTCTGTCATTACAAATTACACAATGAAAATTGTAGTCATTTAGATTACTTATTTTAGGTAATGTATTTTTTTGGAATTAATTTTTAATTATAATTTAACCATCTAATACATAAAAAGTAACTGCAGTTTGTAATTAAAAGCCTTTTCAAGTGTCAACAAGGTATGTATCGTTTACTGTGTGTGAATATGCAAAAAATAACTGTAGTCTGTAATAAAGTGTATTTTAAAAAAGCTATGTAATCTGAGGGTGCTTTCACACTTAGACTTTTGTTTTGGAACTTGTCTCGTTTATCAAGTTAGCTCGGTTAGTTTGGCATGTGTGAATCCAGCAATTGCGCTTGGATCTGGGCCAAAACAATCGGTCCGAGATCGCCTGAATAAGGTGATCTTGGCTCAAGTGAATCGAACTCTGGAGCGGATCAACTGTAGTGAGAAAGCAATACAATCCGAACCAGGCTATTTCACAGTGTATTATAGATATGTAATAGGCAAATATGGCTATAAGAAAAGATAATTATGAGTAGGGCGGGATGTCATTCCTACCGGTAAATGTGCGTTTCATGACAAATACAAAAGTGAAAACATGCTAGCTATTAATGAGAGCTGTTTATCCATTAGGAAAATTGACTAAACTGCAGTCTTGGTTTATCTGTTTTTCTCTCTATAATGTAAAGCCTATAATGCATAAGCCAATTGCTTTGTATGAGAAAATGACTGCAGATTTTCGCTTATACTGTCTTATTGCTCATTGTCATAAATTAAAATAAGGACTCCTGACAGCTGAGCGGGACTCTGCAAAATAGTGAAATAGTGATACTCTTACATGACTTGTTTTAGTTATTTTGATCCAGTTAGAAACTTTGCCATGTGAAAGCGCACCGCACCAAGAACAAAAATAAACAAAATTTTAATCACTGTTTTGAAAGAAAAAAAAAAAAAAAGAGTCAATCCACTGGTGTGAAAGCACCCTAAGTAATTACAAGTACCTAATTTTTGGCATCTCATTACGTAACTCAGATTACATATTACTTAATACCCAAAACTGCTCCTAAAAAACCAGAAGTTGCTGACACTTTAATTTTAGTATGTTATTGTACTTTCAACTGAAACATATATTGTGTAGGGGGCGGAGCTGTCTTCTTCTTCATCATTACCTTGTAGCAAGAGGGGCGTGATTAAGAATTTTGTAGCAAACGGTCAAACTTTGAAGATTACCAAAACAAAAAAATTTTTCCAGTGGGTTAACTTGCACGAACGAATTGTTCATCTAAAGAGAATGTGCACTACAGCAAATTTTGATTTCACAGACTTAAATAATAAAACACAAAGACAGAATGTAAAAATACTAACTTTATTACTTAGTTTGTATTAAAACATATTACAACAGAACAAGTTCACACCAATAATACCTCTCTTTCACTGAAAGAACTATAAACAGACACACCCACAGGATGAAGTACAGCATATTTCTGAGGCCCCGTTTACACTAGTGCGTTTTAGTTTGAAAACGCATAAGTTTTGCTACGGTTACGCCATCCGTCCACACTACGCCGGAGTTCTCGAGCGCCGAAAACGGAGCTTTTTGAAAACGCTGGAGAGGCCGTTTTCATTCTAAAACGCTGCAGCTCCGTCTCAGTGTGGATGGGGAAAGACGGAGATATCTGAAAACGGAGGCGGGGCTGCAAACGTTCGCCTATCTGATTGGGGCTTTTCCTCAATATTAAGTAGCCTAACACACAGTTCAGTCTCGCATCCTCTTCTTGTAAGTTAAGACTTCGCAAGTTTGATCAAGGCTGCAGTCTCCCCCTTCTGAGTTTGATATGGAAAACATACCGAGGACACGCGTCAATCTTCAAACGGAACAGTGTACTTTATAACTTCATTCACATCACCTTGGCTACGTTGTTTCACTTTCTCAACAATAAAATGTAAACATGATTTAAGGAACTGCCTTATTTCTTTTTAATATTAGCAACTTAACAGACAGCAGAAATGTTGAGGCGCCGTGCTGCATATATGAGCGTGGATATTTATAACAAAACGGAGCATATAACAACTGCCTCCTTTTAATTTAAGTGAAAATACGAAACGCACCCTCTCTTTTGCTGAATATCAGTTTTAATAATCGACAATTATAAAAGTATAACATACAATAAGTTTATACATTGTAGGAAATAAGGGCAAGCGATCAGTCAATGTACCTGGATTAATCATTAACTTATCTTTGCACTTAACCAAAACATGTTACCCGTGAAAGTAACTTAATAGATTCCAATGACCAAAGTCAGGGAATTGGCCTATGTCGTTAGATAAAGACAACAACATGAATGAAATATCACGTTTAGCAAATATAGTGAGATTAGATCCAGCGGGAGATGCGTGATGAGCAGTCCGACAAGCAGAGCTCTCATCTGGGTAGAATGCTGGAGCGCTTGCCCGAGAGTGTGTGTGTGGTCACGTGATGTGCGTTTTCAGCGTTTTGGTGTGGACGGAGAGCTGTTCAGAAACGCTGGGTAAAACGCGAGTGTGGACGCGGATCGTTTTCATTCTACAACGCCGTTTTAAAACTAAAACGCACTAGTGTAAACGGGGCCTGACATATCTAGACACAAATCAACTAACAAATGAAGGACAATGGCTCCTACTAAACATTCCTCTGCTCTTTTTGTGGTTTCAGCAGTTTTCCACCTATTGACGCGGCTCTCTCGACACACACCGGCACCCAGAAAAGCGCTACAAACTTCCAGGCTCATTAACATCAAAGTAAATCTGTGAAAGAGCTTGTTTTCTTTCTCCTCCTGCAGGCATCAGACAGTGTAAAAACAGCCTCAATGTCCTCGCAGTGGACCGTGTCATGCCAAACGTAAGATGGGAGGAAAAGTTAGAAGCCTGTTTTTTTTTTCTTTCCACTTTTTTTTTTCTTTCTCCTTCAGGTTAATTATACCTGAAGGGAAATCCTTTTAAATGCTCTTTGGCAGCGTGTAGCATTGGCAGCAGGATCAAACGGCCATTGAGTAAGATGCCTATAAATATAACACATTCATTTGTCTCCAATTCCCTCCTCCCACCCCGCCAGCTTTTTTGGCGTTTTCCTCCTTCTCAAAGCACGGCTCCTGAGGCTTTAACCCGCCTCATGTACACCGCAGAGTTCACATCTGGAACCAGATGGCTGAAGCCACTTCTGAAAGACGCAAGAAGTCGACCTGCAGACATGTAAAGGCAAAGAGAGCCCTTGGGTTAAACACGGCCCGTTTCCAAACAGACACAACAGTCATGCGCTCTGATGATTTATAATGGCGAACAGCGGTTTATTGAAGGGCCTGTTCATCGCATAGACATTTATTTGATGCTTCAGAGTTTTTTTTGTGCCGTGTTTTGACAAAGAGGGGTGGTTCTGCTGATTTATTACTGTCATTTTCCATATAAAACACATTTTTTTAAAATAACACACCATGAGTATCATACCTTTAATTGTTTTTTTTTTTTTTGGTCTACTGGGAAAGATATTTGTGTGCTGAGATTGTATTTGGAAGGAAGTTACATTTTATTTAAGCTGTGTTTGTTGCCTTTGTCTGAATTACACTGTAAAACTAAATAAATCTGTGTAGAATTATGCTAAACAAACACACAGTAAAACATTCTTTTAATTGGTATTTGTTGTTTATTGAAAAAAAGAGGAAAAAACAAGAGAAACAAAAAAAATGAAAAACATTTAGTTAAAATTTTGTAGGTTGTAATCTATTTTGCTTGAATTTAATTGTATTATCTTTCAATATGTCTAATATTTAATATATATATAGTCATATATAGAAATATATTCATATTGCAATGTATATTGCAGAAAAACAAAATATCGCAATGTACAGCCCTAATATCCCAATCCGTCTCATCATGCACCAACGTTTATCCTTTTCATCATCCTGTTTCTCAGTATTTAACTGTGAATTGATTTTAATTAATGAATAAGTTAACACATTGCTTAATATAAGAATGTTCAGTGCATTTGCCTGTCTCTTTATAACTATTTTCAGAAGCCACCAATCTAGGTCAGAGGATACGGGGACCTTGAGTGGAACTGAGGGCTGAGGACTGGAATCAACTGTTCCTATTGTTATTTCTAGTAGTTAATACTATCTAAAATGTCTAAAGTGATTTTGTTTTTTTATGGTTAATTCTTTTAAAGTGATTCTACTTTTATTCAAGATAGACTTTGTGTAGTAAGAATATAACTGCCTGAATGTAGATTATACCGGTTTTTAGCCAGTTTTGATAAAGACGGCTGAGAGTACACTCAGCCTTGGATTAGAAGCAGATTGTACTTTAAGTGTGTGTGTTCTATTTGATTGTTGATCCGTTTCACAGGTCTGGAGTCAGCTCTAATCAGTCTAAGGGATGTCTGACGTTTATGCTTAAGATAATGTTCAGAATTGTACGCACGAACCCCACGTGGAAATTTTCCTAGTCTATCTGTGTTTTAACCAATCAGGTTAGAACACCTATATGTATGACACAGTTAATGACGTTATGTGAGAGTATAATTGTTATTGATTGGTGATTGTAAGCAAAGCAGCCTAGGAACTCATTGCGAGTGTTGAAGCTGGCTTCTGCGAATGAAACTGCAGAATATCTTCAGTAAACTTGATTTATTTATTTAAATCTCTGACTCCGGCTCTTCTTCATCTACCAGGCTGGTCATTCTTTGGGTTAAACTGTAAACTATCCCTACAGTTTATATATATATATATATATATATATATATATATATATATATATATATATATATATATATATATATATATATATACATACATACATACAGGTGAAGTCAGAATTATTAGCCCCCTGTTTATTAGCCCCCAATTTCTGTTTAACGAAGATTTATATTTAATATTTTTTTAACACATTTCTAAACATAATAGGTTTAATAACTCATTTCTAATATCTTTATTTTATCTTTGCCATGATGACAGTAAATATTATTTTGCTAGATATTTTTCCAGACTCCTCTATACAGCTTAAAGTGACATTTAGTTGGGGGCTAATAATTCTGACTAAGATAAAATAAATCAGTAATGAGAAATGAGTTATTAAAAACTATTATGTTCAGAAATGTGTTTAAAAAATCTTCTCTCCGTTAAACAGAAATTGGGAAAAAATTAAACAAAGTAGCTAATAGTTCTGACTTCAGCTGTGTATTATATGCTTTTTTGTGGCACATTTTCACCAATGTATGTGCAAAGCCAAGTATGCAAATCAAAATCACTGACCTGTCCATGTAGTTTGGCTGCTGATAGAGAAGCTGGTGCAGTGTGTATGAGAGTTACAGATGAACGCCGCTTCTCTGACGCTGTGAACTGACAACACACAACCCTGCTGTCTGTACGACGGCCAGCATCGGTATTCAACATTCACAACACTCCTCATTCCTTTCAGGACTGCATAATCTGCCAAAAGAAACACAAAAAAAACATTCCAGGATCCACTCAACACCCATCTGTAAAATATTACCATGACTTAAAGCAAAAAAAAAGTTTCCTCTCGCAGCAGAAGTGGCAGAATCTCATGTTACTAAATGTGTGCGCGACAACAAAAGACGTTCATAATGCTCTGCCAAAATCTCTAAACAGTGGAAAAGGAGTTTTACGAGAGCTGTTCGGACATACGATTTGAAGATTTTTTTGGGCCTCTTTGAATGCCTCTGTGCAGCTTTATAGTGGTCATGTGATTGATTTACGGGTGTCAAAGCTCACAGCGAGGGAGTGAGGGGTGCAAAACTGGTCCTTGAAGATAGATTGAGTTACACACGTTTTATGAGCGAAGTACATCTTCTTGAAGGTGCGGCTGGAGACACACTGCGTATATCTGGAATGCCGTCATGATTGAAGACAAATGTAATGGGAGCTGAAAAGTGTTAAAAGGGTCATGAACTGCCATTGTTGTTTATTTTGTACTTGTCTCCGAAGTCCACTACTGATCTCATCAAGAATTTAACATCATTTAGAAGTAATAGGCCCTGTTTTGATTATGACTGGATAATAATCTGCAGATGTAACATTTTCACAAAGTTAAAAGTGTTAAACTTCTAAATAAATGCATGACGGTCTACAATAAGACGGCAACAAATTATTATTTTCATAATCAATTAATCAAGCAACTATTAGAGCGATTAAATTATTAATAATCGATTATTTCAATGACTAATCAGTGGCTTTTGATTGATTATTCAGCTTTTGCAACAAGTTAAAACCTCATAATGACATAAGCATGTCCAACTCTCAATTTATAGTGCAGTGTTAAGGCTGATTTATACTTAGTTGAACAATAGCACATTGTCAAATTTTCTCACAACTAAGCAATCAAGTTGTCTTTCACTCTAGAGCTACAGCGGTGTATCCAACACAATCTAACGGCAATTCATAACTTTTTCATAACAATTCGTAATCTCATTCATATAATTTTGTACAATTTGCTTATTCCCCATTGGGTTTAGGGGTGGGGGTTGGTGCAACACCTCTTTTTTAAAATTGTAATTTTCATAAGACTAAACTCATACAAATTCGAACGAATTAGCCACTAAACAATATTTCCCAAACTAGGGTCAAAGACAAATGGTAATGTTTGATTTGGCTCACCATACCACCTGAAAAGAGGTGGTTGGGGCAAATTCCTTTGACAGAGACCATTATTTATATTTTAACCACTTGTTTCTTTGTTGTATTGCTGAGTTACAAAAAGCCAATTAAAATAAATGTTTCAGTTAAATGTAAAAACTAATTAAAAGTAAATTAAATGTAAAATGTAAACGTGCTTGTCATCTGACAAAAAGCAATGGTGGGCAATTCAAGGCGAAAGCAGGAGAATGATGACTAGTGTTTTCAGCACTAAACAACATTGTGTTATAAATGAGATTTTTACAGTAATAAGTCCATTATAAAATGTAAAAAAAAAAATTACACTGCAGTATTTGGTTTGGTATATATTCAGCCCACATCCCTCAATCCAGTTTGGTTTTATAAAAAATTTGGCCACCCCTGCACTAAATTGACAAAACCCAAAATAGTTACGTTTCCTCGTGAGATCAGGCTGCTGTTTTGGTCAAATCATGATAATGAAGAAACTCCCGAGTGAAGAATATCTGTTGACAATCTTTTTTATTGTCAACCAATTCAACAAGCCCTAATAAAGGATCTTTCCAACCTTCAAATATGGATGCTGCTCTGATTTCGTTTTAAAACTTTAGGTTGAAATAGTTAGTAGTGAAGCAGTAGTGAAAATGTAATAAAATCAGTACCTGACATTTGTGGCATTACTGATCCAAAACAGCTGACGACATTTAAAGTGCTGTTTACAATGTTTGCATGTTTTTGTTTTAAAATACTTAAGTATTGTTATGATTAAACCTGACATCCATACTATTAAGGCATCTTCAACCTGCGAAAACTGAGCATTTTAAAAATACTAAAGACCCTTTTATCAGGAAACGCTGATGTTCCTTTCTATACAGACGGACTAACACATAGATTTTTGAAAATCCACAATCATTCTCTGTCTGGTCTTCCGGACTATTGCATATGTTTTCCTGATTAGTCAAGCCCCTCTCATGTGACCATTACATAACCACAGACAGCAAGTACAAATACGGGCACATGCCCAGTATGTATGAATGGTCCTGTATCATGTGTTTTAGGCTGTATAGTGTAGAGGGGGATTGTTTTTCTGAACCGCCTGCATGAGGAGTGTTTTTATTCTGAAACGGTATTTGAGAACAATAAGGCACTAGTGTAAACTGCACTTAAGTTTCAAATGCAATTTCAAACTGTGCCTCGCTTGTAATCAAATCTGTGGTAAAATGAATTGAACAAGGTGAACTAGTTTTTACTAACATGGAATGGAACTTGATTAAAAAAAAAAGCTAACTCACTCTTTTATAATGGAGGGATCATTTTCCACTTTTTTATTTGGTTTCTGTGAAGACCTGAGCTTGTCTCTCTCATTAAATACTAATTCATATGCAAATATGTGGGCGGAGCTAAACAGGCAATGTAGAAGCAGGCGTCGATCCTTTGTTTAGACACTCTATTACGTAATAAAGCTGTTTGGGCAGATTGGCTTCAACATAAGCTGGTTTAAAGCAAACAAACCTACAGGATATTTTAAACTACAAAGACATAGGGCTCTATTTTGACGCTATATCTATATCAGGGCGCAAACGCTTTCAGGGCGTATCAGAATGCATTTTTTCTAATTTAAGGACGGAAAAATCCGCTTTGTTTCTTAAAACAGCAACGCGCCAGCAGTACCCCTCACAAAGACTTCCTTTTTAGACCAGAACGCCTATGGGCGCACATATGAGCGCAAATGCATTTGCTATTTAAACAACGTGGTGGAAAACAGCAAAATGACACTTGCGTCCAGCTGAAACTAGCAAGTAACATTTGCGCCACGCCTTGCGCCGCATTGCGCCGGGTCTATGATAGGGCCTCAGAGTGTCATAAGATCAAGGCAATATTTCTCAAGAATAAGAGGTATATTTCATGACTGAAATCAACGCATTACCTTTGGTTATTGATGTGGGTAAGTTCTCCAGGTGCAGTCCGGACTTGTATATATGTAAAATCTTCTCGAAGGCAATCAGGGTTTCATTAATGCTTTGCTTCAAATCTCCTGTGACAAGAATGTAAAATGAAGCTTGCATTACAAAGCAGCTTTTCCTGTGTCGAGTCGAGTTCATGGAGATGAAAACTCACCCGTGGCATTCATTATGTGGTGAATAAGAGGTTTCAGCAACGGGGGAGCCTGATGAGGCAGCAGGTAGGTGAAAAAATACCTGTAGGGGAAATATTTCATATAATTCATCCAGCAGAGTGGAGATTCATGCTGCGAGATCAATATACTACAACTGCTGCCCCGACACTCAGCGGGGTGGATAATTAATCATAACAGACACATGAGGGGAGACTTGAGACTCTTGTAACACAACTTTTTTTCATTATCTGTGGCTCAGACAATAAAAGTGCTCACCTGTAGGCATTGTAGAGGTTTCTCATCTCATTCAGACCCTTGCAAGTTTGGGACGGGGAGCATCGCAGGGTGAAGTTGCGGAGGGGAAACTGCAGCAGGCAGTCAGAGTCCTCTTGACAGACCGGTTCATGAATACTTGCATCATCCAAGTCTGTTAACTTGAGTTCTCCAGACACCATTACAAACTGTCGAGGCTGGAAATCCAGCAGGGCAACTGATCCCAGAGGTGAGACAGACAGGTATTGAAGGAGTCGCACCAAACCAAGACAGACCTGTGGGATAACACAATCAAAAGGAACTTTTTAATAAAATAATAAGACTATTTAGCTGTAATTGTCAGACAGTTCATCCTCACCTAGGAATTATAAGGTTTTATCTGCTTTCTGAATGATTTTGAGATATTGAGCTTCAAAGATTTTGCATTCCATATAGCAAACAGTATGTGTGTAACCAGGCCCGGCGCTACGGGTTTTTTTTTTTACCCAGTTTTTATAAAGGCTTGTTCACTCAAAACTGAAAATTCTTTCTGTCTTTAATTACAAACACTCCCGTTGTTTCAACCTTTAGAACACACATTTAAATATTTTAAAATATATGACATAGCAATTAAATTATGAAAAATTGTGGGGATAAAGTTATCCTATAGTCGAGAGATCCGGTCACAGCGCGTCCGCGTCAGGTAAGGTGCGCCCGTAAATAAAACGCGCACACGGCGATGGAGGCGCACTCAACTCACAAGGGAGAAAAGTGTGTGACATGAGATGAGCAGCTTAATTCATTACATGTTTTGGTTAACTAATTCTTTAAACACAACTCTTTTGAGCTCTAAAAGGAAGAAACGCAGAAGAAATTTGCTGTTAAATTAATTTTAGCAGAGACGCAACTGCCAGTCATTTTCACATTAGTTATTCAGGAAGATATAGCCTAATCAAAATGTTTTAATAAAAATAAATCGTTCACTGCACAGTCCCACAGTAGGCTACACTATAAATAATATTTAAATTAATTAATTATTATTATTATTAATATTATTACAATTAAGCTAAAATTGAGAAAAACGCAGAACCCTTTGAATGTTTGCTTTTATTTTGACATTGCTAAAAAGCGCACTTTTACAGTTGTGTAGAGAAACATCCCATTATGCAGCAGCAGTCAAGGTATAACACTTAATAAATTCCTTTTGCGTTTAAAGATGATCGGCCTACGAAGTCAAGTTTGCAGTGCTATAAATGGAATATATTGCGGATCAACCGAGAAACCTTTTACATGCTGCAGGAAGGCTCAATGATCATCTTTTAAAAATATCTAATTTAGACTGCTATTTGCTCATGCAAAAATAAACAACATAAAATATATTGTAAAGCTAGAAAGAGCTAAAATACAGTCAGCATATCGAGTTTGTTTTGACTTGTAGCTCATGGCCCTAAAATGAAAATAACCTGAAAACAAGTTATTAAAATAGGCTTAATAAATAAATAAAATGACGGGTATGCCTAGCCTAATGGTTTATGATGGTTTACAAATGACAACCAGACAATATCACGAAAAAAACACACTTATGATAGCCTAAGATAAATCTTTATTTTTACATTTAAAATTATGAAAAAAGTTATATAGCCTGAGTTGTTATCGGTGCCATACTAATTTTCACGGTAATAACTGTAAATTTTGGAACCTTTTTAAGGTATTTTTCTGGCTACACTAATGCCTTTAAATGTAACTAAGTAATTGTTTCAAATGACATTAGATTGTAACATTTAGCTTTTCCCTAACACTGATGTTGGTTGGATAATAGGCTACGTGAAGCGGGATGACTCGGTTAAGCTGATTTCACTAGCCTATATTTATTTACCGGTTATATACGAATAGTCTGATCGTGGGTCAGCTTGCATGTGTAGGCATAATTTGACGTCTTTACCTAAAACTTTAAACATTCATATGCCTGTTATTTTAAATAAAACAGAAATAAACAAGAAGAATAACATATGATTTAAAGCACTCGTTTGGCACTAAAGCAATGATCCGTCTGCATTAATAAGCGGTATCGTTGCATTAACGGTATTAATAAAATCAGTAAAAGTGAAACTGTGCATATTATTATTACTATTAAAACGTATATTACTGCCTTAGGTCAGTAACAAGGTAAAGTAATAATACATGTGAATAAATAGCCTAAATGAAAGAAACAAGGGAGACCAAAATCAGTCATCAGGTCTAGTGCCCCCCTATGTATTTAAAATGCCCCCTCAGTTCTGACATCCTGGCGCCGAGCCTGTGTGTAACATTTGTTTTTTACATAAAAAGTCTTAAAATGTAAACTTCTAAAAAAAAAAAATCCCATAATGTAAATAAGTTGTCATTTAATAAGAATATGTCAATAACTCAATTTTGACAAAAATGTCAGATAGAACCTTATAACTCTAAGGTGATGTCATGTTAAGGATTTTATATACACATGTAGTATGATTATGTATATTTAAATTAAATAAAGAATAGTAATATACAATAATTGTACATAATTACATACTATACCATATTATTAATTACTATAATACGAATCTACTACTATTAATTATATATAATATTAATCTACTCCCTCCACAGTCTCCCTGGTAAGTTTAGAATCAATTATAAACTTTTGGTGTTTGCTTTTAATGCCATCAATAGCCTTGCTCCTACTTATTTATGCAAAATTTTGCACATTCACAAACCCAGCAGAGCTTTGCGATCTGCTGACCAACTTCTGCTTGAAGTCCCTCGGTCAAGATACAAGCACTGGGGTGACCGCTCTTTTGCAGCGGCAGGTCCTAAACTCTGGAATTCCCTTCCTACTGAGCTTCGTACAATCACTAACCTGGTACGTTTTAAAGCCAAGCTTAAGAAGCACTTGTTTAAATTGGCTTGTAATGCATAGCACTGACACTTCTTTATGTAGTAATGTTTGTTGTATTTATTGATATTTTTGTACTGTTTTGCACTGTCTGCTTTTTTGTTGTGTTGTATAATTTGCTTTTTCTTGTGTAAGGTACTTTGGTCAGCCTTGGTTGTAGTAAAGTGCTTTATAAATAAAAGTTGATTGATTGATTGATTGATTAATTAATGGTAACACTATGAAATAAGGTTACATTTGTTCAAATTAGTTACCCACATTAGTTAACATCTTAGTTAACATTCATTTCAACATTAACAAACACAATTTTATGTGTAAATATTATAATAACACTAACAATAACAACGATTAAAAAGATTTTGCGAACTGTTAGTTAATGGATTAACTTGTGTTAACCAATGGACATTTATGTGAAGTGTTGCCACTCATTCATTCATTTTCCTTTGGCTTAGTTGCTTTATTCATCAGGGGTCACTAAAGCAGAATGAACTGCCAACTTTTTCAGCATATGTTTTAGACAGCGGATGCTCTTTTACCTCTGTTTTTGGAGAGCTGCTGTGGCTATACAGTGTATCCGAGAGTGAAGTTGAGAATGACTTCATATGTTTTTCAGTGTTACAGCACTGCAAGCCAATACTGGGAAACGCCCATACACACTCACATTCACACACATACACTAACCCCTAAGCCACTGTGTATACAATTTTAATTTCATTGTATTCTAATTTGGTGGGTTTTTATCCTAAAAATTTTATCCAAAACTAATTTGAGAAACAAAACAATATTGTTAACTAAAAAGTAAAATGTTAAAAATGTATTTGAAGTGCTTCTGTTATCTTCATTTGTAAATCATGTAAAATGAAAAATTTATGTAAAATTAATTTAATTATTAGATTAACATTATCTTATTGCAATTTGGTGTTGATTTTGTGCACTTATATTTAGTTGTATACCTGAATCTCCACTGTACCATCAATAACATAATCTAATCTGTCTTAAAAGTATGTAAATATGAACCCTATTTTTGCAGCTAATTATTTTTATGACAGCTTTTTATACATGTAAATAATCCTGTAACACTGAAAAACATATGAAGTCATGCTAAACTTTACTCTTGGATACACTATATAGCCACAGCAGCTCTCCAAAAGCAGAGGTGGATGAAACCAAACACCTTCTTGAATAACTCTCGACCACGTGTTAAGACTTTTCAGAGAAGGTAAGAATGTCAAAGAGACACTCGATTACAGCCCTTTAGCTTAAACACATTTGTCATCATCAAAAATCAAAGGCACACAATATCAGCACCTGCTTATTGCACACCAACGTGAACATGAAACACTCCATGGTGTAGTGAAACTCAGTATCACCTCGCTCCCTCAAACAGTGCCAAGAACTGATCAGGGTAAAGAAGAGTAAAAGGATGGACATCTGAGACAGACATCTGTCCCCTCTGTACTATTTGATCAGGCTCAGTTGGTATGGAGATGGGGCTCCAGTTAATCCAGCTAAAGCTGAAGAATTTCATCCACCCCCACCTCAGGTATGCCCTGTGGGGGGACAGTGGGTGGGGAATCTCTGATTAACACTCCATAGGAGGCCTGGGGGTGGTGCTCTTACCCGAAAGCGCTCTTCCCAGGGGCTCTGCAGGAGCTGGATCATCTGAAGTGGCATCCCCTGCTCCAGAACTGCTGTGATGCCACCAACCAGGACGCTGTCCTGACATTGACCTTTCAGCTAGAAAGAGCACAACAAGATCAATTAGGGCACATATTAAACATTTTAACCTATGCATGTCTAATACTTTACATAACACAATGAGACAAACTGTAGGCTGTTTTTACCTCTACAATATTAGGGTGCTGAAGTTTCTGCAATAACACAATCTCCTTCCTCAGCTTGAACGACACCAGCTCAAGGCATCCCTGGGAATCTTGGAAAACATCCAAGCATAATCTCATGTCAGTGCCTTGATGGTTTACAGATTTCAGTGCCACAAATAATCCGTTTGGCAGTGCTGCTTTTAACACTGTTTTGGTGTAACCTGAACCAAGAAAGTCAACAGCTTTCACGCCACCAAGTTCTTCACAACCAATGTCAGCTGCAGTTGGATTATCCAAACTAATTTTCCCATTAAATCCTTCTTGTTGTTGTATGTCTTCAAAAGTGATGTCCAGGAGCACAAGTTCTTGTTGTCTTTCCTGAAGTTGTTGGCGCAATGTGTCGCGCTGTGGAGCAGAACCATCTGAGCGGGCAGCATCACCAAAAGGCTCGTTCTCCTGGAGACCAAAGTGCCACTTTTTCACAATAAGCGTTAAAGACAAAAACAACAAAGCAAGGAGGACGAAAGCGCAAAACGGACTTCTTTGGAAAGTCATGGCAAGTTTAAGTGTAGGTCCTTTTTGTGTACTGTCAAAGTACGACAGCGTCTCTGTTCATACTTCACTCTGGCGCTTTGAGTACGTGCGTACTGTAATTTAGTGTAGTAAGTGTGAGCTGCGGTAACGCCCAGTGGGCGTGTCTTACTGCTCATGGCCAAATAATCACCTCCCACACAATGCAACCTCCATTAACACACACACACACAGATAAAAGAGCCTATGCGTTTTAATATACATATCATCAAAGGCTAAAACGTTATGAGTTTTAAAATAAAACTGATAAAGTTCATGCTGAGGTGTGAATTGATTTATTTTATTTTCTAAATAAATAAATGAATACATCGAATATTATAAACGTTATTTATTTAAATATAAATTGTTAATTAAACCCTAACTAACAACCCCTATTACATCGTTATTACTATTAATATGTATCCCAGATTGCTTATTCTTAAGCCAGTTTTTGGCTAGATAACATCAATTTTAATTCCTCCTCTCTGATTCAGTTTGTCTCTTCATGTACTTCCGAGTGAAGTTATCACTTTTTTTTTTACCAGAGAGCTTTGATCATCAAGTATAGAGATTAAATGCTAATAATTACTGTGTGGCTCTTTGCTGTTTTTACGACAGTCGCAAGACGGCGCCAAAGAGCAGCCTGTGTTAGAGAAGCATGACACGTAACGCTCGTACAAGTAATAAACATTTGAGTTATAAAATCATTTAAGTGGGGTAACAGTCTAGAGTCGATATATTGGGTTAATGGAGAATTTATTTATACACATGTATAATTAGATATTCGATGAGGATTAATTGGATTCAATCTCTGCAAGGTGAGAGATGCACCTACCTATCAATAGGTGGTGGCAAAGTGTCACAGGCGTCCCATGCACGTTCTTTTATTTCAACATAAAACATATTTCTACATATTAGGATGTAATGCTGTTTGCTCCATTAGTTATATGCAAAAAACACACCTTACATGACCAAAATACACTGACATTTATTAAATTTAACAATGCATACAATACAAATAAGCATAATTACTAGGTGATACAAGTGATCCCCTAAGACACATTACTCTTCATAAAAGAGGGTCTCATTAATTTAAGCGCTTAAAAGAGGGTACAATCCCAAAAGTAGGGTGACAAGGTGGCGCAGTGGGTTGTATAATTGCCTCACAGCAAGAAGGTCACTGGTTTGAGCCCTGGCTGGGTCAGTTGGCATTTCTGTGTGGAGTTTGCATGTTCTCCCAGTGTTGGTGTGGGTTTGCCCTGGGTCCTCCGGTTTCCCCAAAGGCATGCAATATACAGTAGGTGAACTGAATAAACTAAATTGGTCATTTGTGAATAAGTGTATGGGTGTTTCTCAGTGATGGGTTGCAGCTGGAAGGGTATCCACTGCGTAAAACGTGCTGGATAAGATAGGAGTCCATTCCGCTGTGGTGACACCAGATTAATAAAGGGACGATGCCAATAAGAAAATGAATGAATGAATCCCTAAGTTTCTAAAAAGACAGAGACTTAAAGTAAGAGTTGACCCAAAATGATATTTGCTCACTATTTACTCTCCTGTAAGTAGTTCCAAGTTTTTTTCATCTGCTGAAGGTATTTGAAGAATGCTAAAAATCTATAAGCATTGACTTGCATTGTAGAAAAAAAACAAATACTACATAAAAGGTTACAGGTTTCTTCCAAGATATTTCAATTAATGTTCGACAGAAGAAAGAAACAGACAGATTTGGAACATGTAAAGGGTGAGCGAGTAAATGTTTACAGAAAACTCCATTTTGGTTGTACTATCCCTTTAATATGCATAGTATATCTATGTCTGCAATATAATTTGAATACTATTAAACTATTGTTGCAATGATGTTCATAAACACAGAGTGACACTTACACAAATCCTATCCTCCTGGAAAGCATTACTTTGAAAGCAAATATATTTTATAAAAACAACAGCACAGAAATGTTTTCAGCATACTGTTTCACACACATCTTTTGCCTTTGGGAGCTTTTTCTCACTGCTGTTTTATTAAGGAAATGTATCTTTCTGTCTCGATACATGCAGAGGAAATAAAACAACAACGTAGCTCACATCACTTCTCACTGGGTCAAATGTGCCTCTAGAGATTACTGAAACACTCATGATCTGAAGCAAACATGCCTGAATGAATAGCACTGGGAGTTTACACACAAAGCTGGTTGAGTTGAAGCATGTGATAGTCTTTTCCAGAACTCTGTCTGCAGAGAATAGTGAGTCATAATAATGAATAATATATTAGTTCGGTGCTATTTAAATTTGTGATGAATCTCATTATAGGCATGTAACAGCTCATTTTTATAAATTGCTGTGTGAGATGTTCTCCTACAGCCCAGCTGGTGTTAAATATAAACTGTGAAAAATAATGTTGCCCCCCTCACATAACATTTGTATATATATATATATATATATATATATATATATATATATATATATATATATATATATATATATATATATATATATATATATATATATATATATATATATATATATATATATATATATATATATATATATATATATATATATATATATATATATATATATATATATATATATATATATATATATAAAAATCTGAATTGCTGTATTTATTATATTTCTCTGCAATCAGTCTTTATGATCATTTGTAAATTAAAAAAAATATATATATATAGTCAGAATTATTTGCCCCCCTGAATTATTAGCACCCCTGTTTATATTTCCCTCCGATTTCTGTTTAACCGAGAGATTTTTTCAACACATTTCTAAACATAATAGTTTCAATAACTAATTTCTAATAACTGATTTATTTTATCTTTGCCATGATGACAGTAAATAATATTTGACTAGACATTTTTCAAGACACTTTTATACAGCTTAAAGTGACATTTAAAGGCTTAACTGGGTAATTAGGTTAGGATAGGGTAATTAGGCGAGTTATTGTATAGCGATAGTTTGTTCTGTTAAAAATTAAAAACTGCTTTTATTCTAGCCAAAAGACTTTCTCCAGAAGAAAAAAAGATTATAGGAAAAAACTGTGAAAATGTCCTTGCTCTTTTAAATTTGGGAAATATTTGAAAAAGAAAACGAAATTCAAACGAGGGCTAATAATTATGACTTCAACTGTATGCATGACATAATAATATATAATAATTATTTAATCAGTGTTCCATGAATGGTTGCCAAATTCGATATCTTCACATATTATGGGAATGGCCTAAAAGTGTACATTGGCAGGAGGTTAAAAGCGAGATTAGTAAAGTTTTAGCATACAACGTATTAAATGCACCCAGTTTTTTATTTTTTTTTTATTTTTATTTTTTTGCTTGATGGCTTCCCCCCTGATCAGTTCAGTAAGTCTCACCTATTTGCTCTACATATATTATTAATAACAGCTAGGAAGATAATTACAGTGAACTGGATGAAGACCCGTCAACCTACTTTGACAGAATGAACAAAAAGGCTGAATCAGATGTCCTTTGAATTTATTTTGTCTTTTTTAAATATTTCCCAAATGATATTTAGCAGAGCAAGGACATTTCCACAATATTTCCTATGAAAAAAATATTCTGGAGAAAGTTTTATTTTTTTTTAATTTCGGCTAGAATAAAAGTAGTTTGTAATAAAAAAAAATAAAAAAAAACATTTTAAAGACAATATTATTAGACTCTGTGGACCCGGTACCGGGTCTGGGACGTCACTGACTTTCGCTTTAAGATTGAAAGGGCATTGTACCAGACCCCGTAAGTGGTTTCTTTTGAAAGTGTAGAATCTATATTTTATGCACATATGGATCACTTGTTTTATTTTACTGTACAAAAGTTATTTACACTGAAATACACAGTATTTTGGATACCCAAGCTGAACATTAACTTTCATATTTATAATATGGTTCATATGACACATGTAAAAGTTATAGCTCAAATGAAAGCTCTTGCTGGTGCTCATATGGTTCTAGCAGTCTTTTTACTGAATTATATTAACATATCAAATAGTTGTCGAATAAATCACGGTGTTTCCATGATGCAGAAGTGAAAACAATACATTCATGATCAATAAGCAGCCCCAAGATAGCACAGACAGCGGCCATCTCTTACCTTGTTCTGTGTGCTTCAGGGCCATTTCTCCTGTTTTTTTAAGGTGATGTGCATAAGTAATCCTTTTATATGTCTGACAAAATATTACTTCTCACAAATAAAGCTCTAAATAATCGAGCTCCTGTTTATCTAACCAACCTTCTGTCTCGCTACAATCCAACTCGCTCTTTAAGATCTCAAAACTCAGGGCTTCTGGTAGTACCTAGAATAGCAAAATCAAGTAAAGGAGGTCAAGCCTTCTCTTTCATGGCTCCTACACTCTGGAATAGCCTTCCTGATAACGCCCGAGGCTCAGACACACTCTCCCAGTTCAAAACTAGATTAAAGACCTATCTGTTTAGTAAAGCATACACTCAATGCATCACCTAGCGGGTTCCACACAGGCTTCTGCATCTTGCTTATATACACTATGAACAGCAGCTACGCTAATTATTCTCTTTATTCTCTATTTTCACCTGGGGACACACATCCCGAGGTCCTCAGATTATGCGGAGTCACTGATTGGATCCAAGACCAGCGACGAGATGATCCCAAGGTTTCTATATCCGGGACCAGGCCATATCCTGAGCTGCTGCTGCGCTGATGGTCGTGGGGAGTGGAGAACATGTGTCTGATTCCAGCGACGCTCCAGGGACAGACGAGTCTTCGCTGAGGCCATCTTCCAGCCTCCACCGCGGTGACTGAAGCTCTGCACAAGACTTTTGGCCAGCGGAGAAATTAAAATGGTCGTGCCCAACTGAGTCTGGTTCTCTCAAGGTTTTTTTTTTCACTCCCATCAGGTGAAGTTTTTTTTTCCCTCTCCGCTGTCGCCACAGACTCGCATGGTTCAGGATTGGTAGAGCTACACATCAATGAATTTGCTCTTCAGTGTTTGAACTCTCAGTAATGATTAAATCACACTGAACTGAGCTAAACTGAACTGAACTAAACTTAAACACTAAAAACTGAACTACACTGTTCCAGTTACTATGAC